TCGTTTTCTAATGGCACATTTAATCAGATAGTAGGTAAACCTGAATACTGGAGGACTTGAAGAATGCGACAGACGGAGATATGTAGAATAACCCCGAAAAACTCCAGATGTCGACTGCCGATCACGACTTGATGTTAGGGTAATGAGGTGAGGCAGTGGATATAGATATAGCCTGTTGAGAGGAGTTCGTCTCTGTCGGACTCTTGGTCAGTTGGTCACGAGACAGGGAAGAGAGAAGGCATCTCCGTGAAGGGATTAGTTGATGGCACGTGCCACAACCCACAGGTGGCTTTTCTTCATTCTTCTCCTTCTCTACCAACTTTCGGTGTATTCTTACCTCACCACAATCCAACAGGAATTATTTCCATACAGCTCATACCGCCCTTTTTATTTTTCTCCCCGCATTCATAAAATGAATTCAACCGCCACACTTTCAAGGTACTTCCTATCACATTGCCCTCTTTATTTATTATTTTTTTTTAATGGAACAATTAGTCCTGTCCACCTGGTGTTGCAGGTTCAAGGGGTAAAAATACTGAAAGAGTTAGAGCCATTCCACTCTGAGATGAGAAATGAATTGCTGATTGCATCTCTGTCTTCGCGTTTGTAATTCTCTTCATTACGATTTTTACTTTTTCCATGCATTTACACATTTGGTATGGCAATCAATGCGATGACTCGACAAAACCATCAGCGATGCTTTTAAGACTTGCTCCCTTATCTACCTTCTGTGTTGTTGGTCAAGCCATGCTCCAATAGACTCTGGTAGATTTTTCTTCATTAATAAGACGTACATCGTCGTGCACTCGATTATTCTGGGCTCCGCTTGTACGTGACTTACCGGGGGATTGTACTTGGCGAAGTACGGAGGAAGTACATGGTGGGGAATACAAATGAATATTTCTTGGTGGTTTTGCTAAATAATTGAATAAATTCATGCACTTATCGGACATTATCTCTGTACTGTTGGAATATGCGGAGTTTTCAATTTTATTTTTTGATATTTTTCATAGCGATAACGGAGTCATCCGAGAAAAAAAAAATCTGAAGTCGTCAATTATTTATTTATACGAAGTATCAGTGAAAAAATAATATTCGATACACAATATTTTAAAAAATTCATAAATATAATTTTTTTCGTTGTTATTTTTAATAACAATTGCTTGCAATATCTTAAAATTCGAAAAATAAAGTGTTTAATAATCCGAAGAACAATAGGAAATTCCCAAGACCTTGCAAACGTAAACGGTCGATTCATAAGAATGTAAAATGATCTTGTATTCAAAATGTTCCATAAAAAATCGATAAGTGGGAATATATAAAAATTTATTGTTGCTATTGATACTAGTTATCACTTCCCATGGTCTCGCAATATCGGGAATGTACGTCATTAATAAACATTGATTCCCTGAGAACATCCATTGCGAAATTCCAGGCTGAGAGGTATGTTATGATGAAGAAAAATGAAACGAAATATCGTGGAAAGATTCCTGGCAAATGTCGTCGGTTTATGAACCGAGAAGTTATGCATTATGTATCGACTCGACTTTGGGATAACTTGGCTCTATTTTCAACGAGTATCCCATCCAATTTCTCGGCGTTGATCTGTTTGGATGTTACTTTGCTGCTGTGTTTATGCAGTTACGCGTGCACAGTAGTCTGAAGGGCAATTTCTCGATGCACATTGTCACGCATTGTTGAGCCTTGAGTACTGCCATTACACCATGAGACTGCCATGATCCAGGACCTCCAACTCCATAAATGTGAGATATCTGCCTTCAACACTCATTCTTTCACACAAAAAAACCATTCGCTTCCTCGATTCCATGGAAAAAATCCACATTCATCAATCATTTCCCAGCTCTTCCGTGGCTTTTGTAAATATCTTCGAAACTAAAGGAGATAGCGAAATACTTGTCATCATCTTTTTTATAGCTCTTCAAGAGCTCTGTGAGAAAGGTTATTACAAAAATTTTGATATCTTCCGTAGATTTCGACATTTTTGGTGAAAATTCGGGGATGGTGGGAGTCGACTTCACTCGGGCTACCGAGTTTTTCAAAAATATCTCTGAAAGGGGGGGAGATAGCGAAATTTTTGTGGGACCATTTCTAGAGCACTTGATTAGCTCTATAAAAAAAGTTATAACAGAAATTTTGCTATCTTCTTTAGATGTCGAGATTTTTATAGAAAAGTTATCAAAATTGACTTGAATCGGTTGAGCTCTTCGCTACAAATTCATATTTTTTTTATTTGCGGGGCACAACAGCCTGGAATATTATGGGCTAGGTTGATTGGAGGTACTTCTGAATTGCGTTGTTCGCAGCCATTGTTTGTTAGATATGAGTCATGAACGAATTTAGTTATTCTTCGGTTTCCGGTTCGAAGTTGTACTCCGACCTTGCAGCTTCGATATCCGATTATTTATATAAGTTCTCTGAAAATACGACTGATCAAGTCCACGTACCCGGATATCTAAAGACATATTACGTAATATTAAATGAAAACATAGGACCCACGGGGAATAAAAAAAAATGGCTGAAGGACCGATGGAGATTTTTATTTTCCTGGAATTATCTGTTTTTGTCAATGTTTCAATGTTTCTTCTAAAAGACGGAATGTAAAATTGATTGAAAGAGTAAAAAAGTAAAATCAACTGGACTTCTGATTAAAAAAATTTACGAGTTATTTAAATTTGTCTGTTGACTTAGGATTTTTTCCCATGGGCTTTCCCACCGCTGGTCCGCATCGTCGAGAAAATAGTGGTGAAAAGGGGTAGTTAGTGAAATGCAGAGGATTGAGTGGTCATAAAGAATTGTTTAGCGATGCGTATGAGGCCGGTCCTGGGAGCTGTTACCAACTCCCACGGTGGTACAGCACTAGAAGTTGCGAAACGAGAAAGAAGACAAGAAGGAAGAAAGGGCAGGGTCTTTACGGCATTTACGTCGTTGAAACGTTGACTTGTTCTCCGTCCGTTGAAGAGGATCACCTGAGAAATATCTCGGATCATCACCGTTTTCTCTCCCTCAGCTCAACAATCACCAGTTGGTCTCGCTTCCTCCCTTATATTCACTTAAACCCTTGCAGCACCCACTTAAATTTATCTGGCGAGCGTTTACGTTGTGTCTATACTCCACAACATTCTATTCTCTATTAGATGAACTGTGGAAGAGACTAGAATTCATGATGTACGAGAAAAAGGGGCAAAATTAAAGGAACGAAACTCACTGGGAGAGATATTGAGGAAATTCAAAGCTTCCTAATCAGCTCATGCTGCAGTCGTAACGCTTCGGTTTTGCTAAGTTATTCGCATATATATTTATATTTCACTGGTCTGAAACATTCGACTTAAAACGTGGAAAGTGGATTCACGGTGGTCAGGTATATTGTATATTGTTGCTTCGAGGTTGTAAATATATCCGAGTATACGATCCTCCCCCGATTGTTGCCGAGTTAAATTCATGAAGGAGAGGTAAAATACTTGCCGAAGAGATTCTTTGCCACGTAACGGACGTATTTGTATTCTGGTTTCGTTCTCCCGGGAAAAGTGAATTTGTCTATTCTGTAATGGATGTAAAATGCCCTCCACCCTATGGAATATTATTATTCTAAACGGTGGCCAATAGTCGGCTTTGAAATTTAAACTTTTCACATTTTTCTGCTAAACATTTCTCTCTTGGGACCAAAGTAAATCAGGTCATTGAAAATCAAAGATATATCATCAATCAATTAATTCAATTCGTTTCACATTTGATATTTCACATTTTATCCAGGATATTTCGTTATTGACAAATCAAATATTCCATTCTCATTGGATTATTTTCTCTCAAAGACTTAGATTCAAAGACTCCCATTATTTTATTTTCCTAACTTATAATCTTCATTAATTTTTCAATAGTCATCATTACCATCAAGTTCTATTGATCAACACGTCATAATTTCCAATTAAAAACCCGCGGTAAATACTCAATTAACCAATCAATCAATCAATCACGCGGATGACTCTCCGATTCCCTGAAAATTCCGGAAAAATCCCGGATCGCAGGTCTCCTGCAGTCTTGAATTCGAAATCGTCGACCGCAGAATATACTTCTTTGATTTTTTTTTGGCAAAAACTCGGTGCCTCGGAAGGAAGACACGGTCACCTTTTTATCCACATCGCGGTCGAGCTTCTGTTATGTGCATGAAAAGAAGTGACAGCTGAAGAAGTCGGTGGTGAAAAAAAAATGGCGAATCTTTCTAGTGGATATTCTAGAGGCAACTAGAGATACACCGGTTTTCCGTTAAAGGTCGATCGGTGGGTAACCGCCTACTGGCGCAACCAAATTACACCTCATTCATCCTTTCATTCATTCTCTGAGGTCTCAACACTGCCAACTTCAGTCCAACCAACACCAAAGATCCAACGGGGTATCCCGGTAATAGGCAAAAAAGATAAATCCGAGGGGAACCCATTACTGTAGCGCAAAAAAAAAACCGGAGAAATTATCTGCCTCGGAGGATAAAAACCGTGACAAAGTGAATTTTGTGGGGATGGACCTGTGACTTTTTTCTAGTTTTTCATTTTCGAGCAAATGACCGGGATGTATTGCCACATCGTTTTCCAGTTTCGACACTTTTCGATGGTCAAATTAACTGGATCGACCTCACTGCCACTATCTCTTTTCATTCCTCGGGTGAACGAACGAGATAGGATCAGATGAGATGACGCAGGGCTTAATGGGAATTTTTTTTTTGCAAAATTAATGCGATTAAATAATTTCTTGCGTTATTGTTGACATTTGAATTTTAAATCACTTGGTTTATGGTATTTTTCATTGGGAATTTATAATTTAGAGAATTTATAGTTTAAATACTTTATCGGGACGATAACCCAAGGTCCGAAGTTAAAATAATTTAACAACTATCGAGACTGAATTGTTAAATAATTTATAAATCTCCGTTATAAAAGAATTAGAAGAAATCATGGACTTATAAGGATTATTTTTTGTTGATCTTCCAGAGAGACAGCCCAACCCTCGGCCGCCGTCAGATTGATCGAAACCATTGGATCACAATACAGAATCACGAGGGAAACACCTTGAATTGGCCTGCACTTGGTGGAAATAATTTCGATTCGTGCTATGATCAGCATGGAATTATCGGGCCACGGGACGCAGCATGGGGCACTCCATCTCGGCGTGGGTGTCAACCCGGGGGATCCCGCCCTAGCCGCTATCCATTCTCACCACCAGGACTCACTGGGAATGCAGCATCACAATCACACCGGCATCGGGAATGGAGGTATGCATGAGGAGTCCAAGAAAAAACGTACGTTTCTTCTTACGAATCCTAGTATCATTTTCATATAATTTCCCCAAACACGAATAGAAATATCCAAAGAAATATAGAAATATATTTTTAAATTAATGAATAATAATTGAAAAGCTAATTAATTCTATTGCACAACAGAGATTTTGATACTAAGTCGAATCCATTGTTTTTTTATACAATATTTAATACATAATATATTCCCGGAGTTGAATGGAGCTCGTGCAGATATTTTTTTCTCTCACTGTTTAAATCCGTGTCTGTAGATACCTGGTGGCTCACCTCAGGTGTTAATTTACCGTGAAATAACGAAAGCAAGTGACAATTATTGCGGATAAAAAAGTGTAGGACACATACCGAAGTGATAAATTTCCAGATAAATTGCTGTAGACGCGAATGAAGAGATGAGCCGTTCAGTATCCAACAGGTAATTGGTCTCCTTCTTGTCGACTGCATGCCAAGGGTTTATAAAGAAATGTTGCCGCAAGCACCGCTGATTTGTCCATGTCTTGGTGTATACTTGATTTACGCTATTCCCCTTCCGGCGACAATCAGCTGTAATAAAATACTGTCGTACAATGTGTAACGTAGGGTTCAGGGATTCTCCCTCAGTATCGCGAGATTAATTTACATAAGTCATAGCGGATTTTATCTCTATTTAATTATATTGGGTATTATTATCTTCGTGGGATTATCCCAGTTGAGAAAATTTCACCGTGTATCTCATCAATTATTACTCGAAATGATATGTTCCCAGTGATGAGTCAATTCTTGTATCCATTGACCACTTGGTGACGCCTCAACATCAATTTATCGCAGCATTTCTGTTGCTTTTTTTACTTGCGCATTTTTCCTTTTTTTTTGTCGCGTAATTGAATAATTAATTGTCATTCAATGGTCCGGGAATGATTTATTCAGGTTTTTTAGAACTTTTTCTTGGAATTATTTTCTTTTATTAATTTCATCGGATAATATTTCTGAGAACATCAAACTGATGAATAAATAGATTTATCGAAGGACATACGGAGTTTCTTGTTATAAATTTCTTGTTAGTTTCAATTCCGAAAATAAAAATAATTACAATTTTCTGCTTTTATCCTCTGGCTCACTCGATCATTTTCATAAAAAAAAGTCTTAAAAATCACCAGTAACAGTTCACAATTTATTTCCGAGTTCCCTCCTTTCGAATAATTCCAAATGCAAATAATTATTGCGTAATAATATCATAATTAATCATAATTGAACGCAATCAATCGAATTAGAAACCCAAAAAAAAAAGTAAGAAGCTAAAAATGAGGAATAAACAGAAGGAATATAATATTCTCGAGTTAAAATGAATTTTTTCGTGGGTGCAGTGTTAGATGAGTGGAGTGAGCAGATGAATGGTTGAAAGACAGCTTTGTTTGGTTGAAACAATGGCATTAGCGGGATGAAGGTGCGCGGTGGTTGGAGTTGTTCAAAAGATGCGGTGTACACCGAAAGTCAATGATCGAATGGCATCCAGCACATTGAGCTTTTATATCAGTGGTATTGCCAAGCAGTTGACGTAGATATAAGGGATTCCCCGTCGCGGATGTATGCTCCTGAGACGCGCCTAGTTGGGGTTATGAAGATGAAAGGACGCCGCCCAGTTCTCCAACCATGGTAAAGGAGAGCCGGTGACACTGCGTGAGATCACTAGATCGTTAACTACCGTGATATCAAAAATTTGACTCTTCCGATGGACCACACATTCATCCATTCATTAACCCCTTCAAACCGACAAATAAATATACTCCAATCAAATATACTCTGTACTTGTTTAAATACGCCATTTTTACCTAAGACAAGTACATTAATATATTAATTAATACACCTTGACGTGATTGGAATTGTTTTATTGATTGATTTAAATTGATTCTGCAGACGAAGACCTTTTCACCTGAAATAAATGACTCTTGTACCTCTATCAGGCCCAAATTCCGAGTCAACGATTGACTCGAAGTAATTCGACTTGAATAAAGTCGAATATCGACTTGAATCACTACTTCTCACTGAGTCCAACAGCTGGCAATCAATATCGGATATGCATTACTAGTTTATTGTATTCATTCCGACAAATAAACAATAGTCTCGATTCAAGTGAATTTTTTTTTACCCCGGTGCAGGCATAAATTTAGCAACTCCGTTGTTCACGTCACAGTTATTTAGTGTCGGTGTATAGTTTTCTCGAACAATAAAAGAAAACGGGTAATCGTCTGCTGAATGAGTACCTAGACCACCGTACACTTTGAGCTGGCCGGAGCAAATTCTCGAACGCGTAATCCTTACTTATATTCAGCCACATAGGCCGCACAGCAATCTCGATGTTCTGCATAGGATGGAGAAATAGAAAAATTTTAAAACTGGTAATACCGGAGCGCGTGACGATTACAGGCGGTGCAGGTCGCTTATAAGATTCATTGTGACTTAAGTCGATTCTCGATACAATATATGTATATGCATCCATGAGCATGTGCTTGACAGGAGAATGCGGTGACGGGCCGTTTGTCAATTGAAATCGCATTGTTCAACCGCGGGGGACAGATTTGTTGCTCTCTGAATCATTCCACGTGTCGACACTTTTTTTAACAAAATTGTTGTTGACACACGCAAAAACTGGATTTATTGCTCCCCAAAAATCACTCAATTCGAGAAATTTCTCCTTCAATTCAAATTTTAGAAGGTTCCTTACATGAAAAAATTTGGAGCTCGAAAAATATATGAAATACATATTTTCTATATTATTCATAAAATTATAGAGAATTAAAAAATAAAAATAAATGTTTATTTAAATATTTTAATTTCTCATCGAAAGAAAATTATGAAAACTCTTTATTTGAGATGAATCCATAATTTATTCAATTAAAATAATCAATTCTCGTGAGTTGCGCAATTTTTTGGAATAACATTTGAAATAAAGATTTCGATTTAATTTGAATTAGCCATTTTTCTGAGTGCAGGGTCGGTGACCCGCCTCACAACATCGTAAGTTTAATCCCCGCGAGTACACGTAATCCGCATGCATGTGCATTACCCACACAGCTGATTTCCACTTATGCATAATATCCACACGGCGTGGCTGGCCTAGTATCGAAACTATGATGCCTACCTATTGATTACTAATTAATGCAACTTTGCAGATACGCATCATTAAGCATAATAGGCAGTGTCTGCCCGCCTCGGTATTCATTCGTACTACGAAGCCGTTCGATTGCTCTCATTCACTCGCCATTGACGAGAAAAGTCCTGAGAAAAATCAAGAATTATATCCAAAAAAAAAAACACCACGACTTTTCAGGTGGATTTCAAAGAAAAAAGTGTGCCTTGACCAAATTTCAGTTTAATTTCAGAAAATTAAAAATTAAAATTTTTTTAAATTGAACATTTTTTTATATTCAACTTTTTTTTATCAGAAATATCAATTTTTTGATGATATCGCGTTTAATATGATTTTATGATTCAATGCGTCTCATGCTGCACTACTATATAAAAAAAAATGGTGGATTTAAAATATTATATATATGTATTTTATTATATTTAGTATAAAAATTTCGAGTATTTGACGTGTAATTGGAGTCAAAGGGACATTTTCTGGTGTCAAGAATATCAGTTCCTGGTGGGACTGAATTTTTTAAGATTGTGATGCGCGTAAAGTTGAAGGGTATCCATCCGCGTAACAATAATTCCAGGGGAGTGATACTTATATATGAAGGCAGAGCGAGCCGAGATAGTGAGTTTATTTATGGGGTTAAATGAAGAAACACAGCGAGATACGGCGATAGCCAGGTCTCGGTACAAATAGGTTGCCATGCAGGTTCCCATCGAGAGAACTCACTGGCATGTACCAGTTGTCATAAACTAACACGCCCTGGCGTATTCATCGCCCCCTCTCACAAGAAAATTTTTAAAAAATCATAAGCCTCTCATCTGATGTCGGACAACGCCGGATATTCTATACCACCATAAACTCATTTTTACCGATCAATTATTTACTCTGTTTTTCTTTTTCGCAGATGATGGCAGCCACGGCGGCAACGGCCAAGACGGTGAGTCCACTAATGCATGTATTTGTACTTTAGTCATTGATCATGCAAAAACACGGCGAGTACTTTGTACTCGCTAATCAGTCGGGTATTGTATTCTCGAGGCAAAGGTCGACCGAGAGAAATTACGAGTTGAATGAGGGGACACGGGTTTTGTTGCGCTTGATTGATAATAAGGGTGCTTATCAAATGTCCTAATGTTCAATAATGCAATATCCGATTGCAGCGGAAAATTGATATTTCAGGGAACGACTCGTAAACACTGACGGAAATACGATCCAATGCCGTAATTATTAATTATTCGATTAATTATTTGATGAATCGCGACAAATTGCGCTTTTCTCCAAAAGTTAATTAATTGAATTAATGCATTTGCTCATGGCGATTTGGTGCCAATGCCTGACAACATTGAATCCTCGAGTCGTCCCACATTGACTCACTTTTCCTGCGAACTAGACCACCAGCTGCATTCCTAGTGCAAAAGTGACGGTTGTGCCTGCATAAAAGACAAAAGCAGAAAGTGAAATTGTATTTTATTCCCCACCCATAATGTTGCGCACGATGAAGAATCTCCCATGAACTTAGAGGGCACACATGGAGTTGATGCACATCATCGTACAAATCCTCCACATCGTTGTGTACAAACACCACAGCTGGCAATTCGCGGGATTCACTCGCGTGTCTCGGCGTTGGGAGTGAGGTAATTTATGCCGATGAATTACATGCCAGAAACGTACAGTAGGTGGTGTGAAAAAAGAGTGGAGAGGAGCAGATAGAGGATAAAAAAAAAAACCAAAACACCAGTGACAAGCCAAAAAACGATAGAGAGAGACTTGATAAGAGTGAGAAAGAGAGAGACATTGCGGTGGCCAGGAGATTTATCGTAGGGTTTAAAGGGCAAAAGTTGGGTTGCAAGGTGTTAGACACGTCCGCTCCTCTTGTGGTGCCTCTCCGGGCATTCAATATTCAACAGGTATTTACATTTGCAAATTGTTTACGTCAGGTCATGATGAAATCTGTCAGAGTTTCGTTTATCGTTCCTTAGCTGCCTCCCTTGGTCAGGCTGTGTAGCCTCGGGGGGGCCGGCGCTCGGATCTTCCACCATTTCTCGTCGGTTATTTCGCGCTCAGTTCTTTACGTACGCACGTAATTATACTGCCCGAGTGGTATTAATCCTCTTAGTTAGGCTCTTACATGACTCCGCGACAGAAAGTACACGCGAGGGCCTGGCATAAACCAAACTCTGACATTCTATTCTTTTCCTCTTCCTCATCTCCCCCATCTATCATTTTTTTCCCCCCCGATATAGTTAATTGATTTCAAGTTCATTTCCCTGATTGACTTTTTAAATTAACGTCTCGATCCCGATAAATAAAATAATCATGAGACTATTGGAAAGATGTAGAAATTCATAAAAACGTACCCGGAAATGCATTCACTCCAGCATGACCCAGACCAATTTCGTTGCTGGATGATAGATATGTCCCGTTTGGAATAATACCCTTGCCAGCAAGAGAATGCCACACCCTTGGTCAACCTACATAGACCAGCGTCCACAACCATATGGGCCCATGGTATACCCCGAGCAAGAAATTCAATGGTCGCGTCACGTACCACACCGTGACGCATCTTGTTTCTTCAAAGTCACCCGACATCTCGTGCCCTCACACCAATCGATACGATTTTATCCCGCGACATCAGCCAACTTATCGCTTAATCAACTCCATCCATCTGGAATCCCAAGGCTTCCGCTTTGGCATCTAGTCATTACTGTGGCAGGCCGAACATTTGCCGATGAGTCGTCGAGTTTCGAATGAATCCAACAATTCCCGATCATCACCAGATGAATATCCACGGAGTATGTAATCTACTCTCGGTTACCAGCCCAGGTCGATAGGTAATTCTGACGCGTACCGTATCCCATGGGAATTCCAATCGCGTATCGAATCAATTCCATCGAGTTTTTTTTTTTTCATTCAATAATAAATATCCGCGGACAGTGTTTAGTGCCTTTGGCTCTCCTCCCTCCCTGATTATCCAACAGTAGAAATCATCAGGGTTAGGTGCAGTTTTTATACTTCAACATACTCCGTTCAATACGCGTGGGACGTTATAGCTGGTCTTAAAACGGATCACCAGCGATAAAGACTTGCCCGCATAATTGGTTGAACGCTGCTTTGATCAGAGATTTTTCATCTACTCCAGTATTTTTATCAAAATTGTCGTCATGTTTCCGGGAGCGTGATAAGGGCACTCAAAAAAAAAATTATTTGTCTCAAGTATTCGATGCTACTTGACGGACTGATTAAAAATATATTTTTTTATAGGAATGTTGCGAAAGTACTCGTGAAAGGTACCCCGATTACTTTCGTTGATAATTTCGAAAAGTAATTTTCTTCATTTGCATCAGAATATTATTTATTGATTTTGTGGTTGTTCATTCGCGATTGATTACGCACTTGAATCAATCCTACGCGTACTGGAATCAAGTAGATAAATAAATAAGTAGATAAAAATAAATAAATAATTTAAATAAAATAATATTCGAGTGGGCGCGGACATTCGTAGACTCGAGTCACTTGGGACTTGAATCTAGGAAAAAAAATATTGAATGATGATTAATCGAGTGAATACTTGGGGACTTTGTTTATCAGTTAGAGTGGTGAGGGTTTATTGATATTTGGGAAAGAGTAGGGATCCCGATGAATGAGCTCATCCCGTATGTGTGACCCGTCAATCAACAATCAACGCCTCACACCCGAGCACCAACCAATCAACTCCCAGCAAATGCCTGCACGCCGGTCACATTTACTAATCGGTCTCGACGTATAGCGTCTCCTCAATGGTTTGTTGACTAGTCGGGGAAAAAACAAGATGGCTGTGCACGAGTTTTGTCAGTCCCGTGGCTCCAATTTGAAAAGTAATCTCGAGAAAACTCGTTGCTGGATCAATTCCCCGGTGACTGTGGATTTCTCTACACGTCCTTGGTAGCCCATTAAGTCGCGAGAAACCGTTACGAAATCGATCTTGATAACGGCTTCAGAGTCACATGTGGATAAGTACCAGAAGAGTATGACAAGCAAACGCGCACGCCTTGCGTCGAGAAAAACAGCGGTTTCAGGGGATTAACATGAGAAAAATGAGAGATTGGTGCGTGGGCTCGAGATTTACTCGTGATCAATTCATCAGCTGATTTCAATCGTTTGTCTTCATTTTAATTCTTCATTCTTCCCTGGTAGTGAGGAAGCTTTTTATTCTCTGTTGAATCCACACAAAAGTCCATTACGCGACTGGAGCTTTGATGCAATTCCGGTAATGAAAATAAATATTCTCAACTGTGATAAGAGATCGCGGGCAGATAAGAGCACCCGTAGGCCGCCACCTCTGGAGAAAGTAGTCGCTGGATTCAAGCCGACAAACTGATATCATGAATAAGTTTGTTAAAGGATTTTATGCAAACTCCAGTGCTGTCGTATTACAATATGCAAAACATCGATTTAATATCGGGAAAATAATTTCTTGAGGTGAAAAATCGGGAGACATTTAAACAATTGATTATCAATTGTTTAAATGCTTTGAACAAGACTTCTGGTTTTTTGGGTGAGATGTTACGATATGGAATTCCATATTAATTCGATGAAATGGAATGTTTGGAAAAGAACGACAGAAATGTCAAGTGCGAATTCAGTTTTTGCTGTGCAACACTTATGCATTTATTCAATCCACGTCTCTCACATTCATCATTCTTCAACGCCAAGTGTTTACAATCTTTAGTGCACAAAAAAACGCCACCAGAACGCGTGCGTTATTGATTGAAATTAGCAACAAACTTGTTTTCGTTAAACTGAACTGATCCTTGAATTAATTTAACGCGTACTTGAATCAAGTACACGTAGGTTTGCTCGAGGCTGAATGAAGGGTAAATAAAAATAAAGGAAGAGAATATGTATATATTCTTGGACTTGAAAGATGATGCCAGATATTAATACTGCTGAGGATATTAATGATGATCATTTCGCGGAATTTAATAAGATCAGAATAACTTGTTTCCGAGAATATAAAATGATGGAGGAGGACTTGGAGGTTCACGGGGTTAACTCTCGATAGCCATTTGATGCACTAATGAATACTCAGTCTTGTAAAAAATAATTAGGAGGCAGTCAATATGTAAAACACGATAAGTAATTACGTGACTACCATGTGAGGTTCGTTGAACAAGCGATAGAGCATGACGCCATCAGACCAACTCGTCTAGGTAGAATGACGGCTTTTCTCAGTCTGTGATGGTCCAATACACCAGGTCGTCTACCACGATCATCATCATTCATCAGTGGAGTCTGTAAGTGGGGAATCCCGGTGTCTACTGGCAATCGCGGGAACACCGCGAGACATTTCGCCAAATAATGAATCCATCTCTGCTTCACGTTTACGCTTCAACTGATTGCAAACTGGTTTTTTGTGCGATCATCCAAGCGTTCGATTAATGGACGTTACCGATAACCTGTGCGATTCTTCCGTACCGCTGCTTGCAATTCTCAACTTGTGTTTGGGATTCAGTGATTAGGGGATTATTAGTCACCGCAGGTGGCCACCGACACGTGCCGGGTTGTCAAAACAACTCGGAATTTTCCGGTCACTTGGAACGATCGATCGTTACAATCGATACGAAATATCGATACGGATCAACAATCGGTGCGTTCATTTTTCACCCAGTTGGGACTTCTGGGGTACCATAAAACCAATGGAATAATTATTTCGGGATCTAGTTATATGCGCCTTTAAAAATTGGAATCGTTCAAAGGGTTAAAATATCGGCAACAACCGATTTTTCTGTTATCGCTATATTTTCGGGACCGCGCAACGGATCAAGCTGAAGTTTGACTCAAAATCTGACTTATGAAATTACCGAAAAAATAATTTGGATTAAAAAATTTTTGTCTCCACGCATCTTTTAGTGGGCAGATGTGAGAAAGTGCCATCTTTATTCCAACCGATTCCGTGATATAC